CATTTCACGCAGTCTCACATATTATAGGTTACAGCTTAAAGCTCAAAGTTGTTTACAGAAACCAGAATTTATTCTCTCTGTCCGCATAAGGGCTTTCAGAATAAGAGGCTGGACTTCATCACAGCTTCTCTCTTAACAGATGTTAAGTTAATGGGAGTGGGCTCTAGAAAATAAATTACTCATTAAAACATTTTATTTTTACAACTTAAGAAACCATATATTACCAACTTCTTGTGATTACTGGTTAAATATATTCAGAAATACATTTAACCAATCCAATATATTTATTTTTGATAAAGATCGGACAGTTATAGCTGCATATATTCTGAAAATAAACAACCATAAATGTAAAAAAAACATCCCTTGTAAGTACTCATAAACATGTGATTTTGTATTTGTTCTCAATGTTTAATTGGAAACTCCTAACATATCTTTGATTCCTAGCTTGCTTCGGTAGATTAGAGTCATTCTTTTATTTTGTTAAGTCTTGATCCAATTATGTACAATCTGAAGGCCTGCAGGCTTTACAAAGAAAGGCAAAGTAAGAACCAAGGAAAAACATCCGTCTGTAGTTCTTAGAAATGCGCTCTCAACCTTTAAAAGCATTACAATAATTCTATGTATTCAATCCATACATATGACCTTTAAAGGTTATTGCTTTTAAAGAACAGTACATGCAGGTTCCAATGCAGTTACAACTTATGTCCAGCAGAGGGAGCTATACTCCAACAGCTGGAGAGGAAATGCGTCACCACTTCATAAATGCATTCAGTGTGTTGCCTTCATGCACACATTTGTTCTTCAGTGAAAATAACAGCTTTGTTATTGTATAGTACATTAGTTTGGTCCACTCTTGGCCTTCAGCTCTGTTCCATTGTTTTCTCATGTCAGTTGCAGATTTTTAGTCTGATTTCTTAAGCTTAATTGTTAGTCTTTTACATGTTTGTCTATAATCTGTTTTATGTATGGGTGGACTTTCATTATATGCTTTCTTCAGATAAATAATTCCTTCTTTTTTTACATGGACCTTTGCTAAAGGTTAAGTCAAATGTTTAGTTTTGAGACAACATTAAGGAATACAAATTAGAAAGACCATGTTTCATTAAAACCTACTTCAAAAGATCTTTAAAAGTTCCTCTGCCTCTTCTATTCTTCCCAGTACATACAACTTGCACCTGCATTTTAACTCTTTCCGCCCAAGGGTGTTTAGGAAACAAAGGGCTCATATCACCGCGCTGAATATAAGCCAAACCAGCCTTCAAATAAGTTCAGCGGTTAAGTTCAGCGGTGCGATTTCCCTATTCTCCCATCTCGTCATGTGATGATGAAAAGCTTGATCTTGTGATGCAATCTAAAGTGTGACACAAACACTACGGGGCCAGTGTGGACAGACACTGCCTTGTTGTTAATAATATTCAGTAAGCAGATGATACTCCTGCAGCTGCTGTTTAATCTCTCCACTAACCTATGATAAATGGTCCGAGCCCGGGGACCTCAGCCCCCGTTTCCCCTCTCATCATCACACCTGATATTTCTCTAAGCAAAGAACACTGAAAAATGTGTTTTACTATTACTAACCCCTTGTTAGGAGTGAATAAGGTCATATGACTTACCCTCATTGTGCTCTTTCTTTGTGTCCAGCTGTCTTGCCTTTGTATTATTTGTCAGTTATATTTTGAAACCAGAGGATGTGAAGTCCTTGCTGTTAGCTATTGTCTACTCAGAAAGAAAATGTTTGACCTGAAACTTATTGCTCATTTTCTTTGCAGAGTTAGAGCAGCTTCTAAATATGTTATCACAATCAAATGTAATTGTTGTATCATATTTAAGTGGCTCTTTCAAGTAAATATATCATCTCTGCTTATTTAATAACTGAACAATATTCACGCCCACATAACTAAGACGTAGTATGGGGAAGAATAATAGTGCTCATTTCATAAAAAACATTGTGAGTTTTTTGACATAAGTTGACATTCAGAACCAGCCCAGAAGAATCAATGCTTTGTACTGTAGATCCAATCAAGCTCCACCCATCAAACCATCCATCCATCCGTCCATCCCATCCTCATTTCAAAATGCCGCTTTTCCCTGTAAAGTTTTACAGTGATGCCAGAAAACAATATTTCTGATATCAAAAACGGTATAATTACTCCCAAAAAAGAAGATTGCGTCAAATAGAGCGTCACGCGGCAGAGACAGCTTTGTTTTTACGGAGCTCCAACGTCGCATTGCTGTTAACGTTTGCGGTGCCATCTTGTATACGGGTGTCATGTTCTCACGAGAATTGTTATATCTTATATACAAGATCAGAGCCACAGTATTGCCCTCATACTATATTTTTTCTAGAAAAACCCCTACATCCATCCATTCATCCATCCACCAATCCATCCATCCATACGCTGAAAAAACTGAAACGTTGACATTTCACATAACTGTATAAGGTTAGTTGAAACCCATAATGTTAAGTTGAACCTAATGTGTTTTATTTCAACGTAATGTTATTGCTTTCGATTAACCTAATACAGTTATGTGATACATTTAATTTAAGTCAATGTTTCAATTTTTCAGTGTATACAGTATATATCCATCCATCTATCCGTCTTTCTCAGCATTAATGCATTCATCCTTCCGTCCATCCACCCAACCAACCATTCATGTATTCATCGCTCCACCCATCCATTTATGCGTAAATCTATCCATCCATAAATGTTCTGCTGGATATTGTGGTTTGGGTTGTGTGGTGCAGGCTAACTAGCCCAGACCTCCTCATCTCCAGCCATATCTCCCATGTCCAACAACATCCTGAGGCATTCCCATGCTAAATTAGATATTTCACCCCTAGATCACCTCCCAGTTAGACATGCCCGGAGCGCATCCAGGAAGGGGTCCCGGGGGGCAGCCTCATCAGATGGTTGAGGCACCTCCTCTGGCTCCATTCGGCACTCAGACACATTGGCTCGGGGCACTTTCTGTATGCCTGGGCTCTTCACTTAGTTCTAGAGAGTCAGTAACCCTGCGTAAAAAGCTTATTTTGACCACTCCGGTCCTAGATGTTGTCAGCTCACTCTAAAACATAGGTGATAGTCATGGAGCGATGACGGGTAAATCAAGAGCGTCACCTTCAAAACTCTCTTCACTTGCATCGATGAGGACGTTACACCCTTCTACCTCGTGGATATCATGCTTCACGTCACTGGCCATAGTGAACAAGAACAGTAACCATGGCCACAGTGCAACCAAGCTTGCAGAAGTACACAATTAAACTCAAACTGAATTGGAATTCCCTAACAATGCCAGAATCAATGTTTAGCATGGATAAACCCACTGATCGTAGATGGTGCCATTTCTGTGCACATGTAGACGTAGGTGCAATACTCTGGTTTTAATAAGGTTAAGTGGAGAAAGCTTTCTCACAGCTGTAAGTCAACCCAAACATGTTCAAGTGCTACCTTGGACAGAACATTGTGCTCTATGTTTTCATCCCTTTCACATCTTTCTTTGGCAGGTGTTCTCCCAACGGTCTCAAATGATAAACAATTGATTTGATTGGCCCAATTCAGTAAAACTGTTGTCATATTATGTTGATTACGTGAATGCTTTCTGGCTAACATCCGGTTGGCTTTGTACTTACTTTATTGGGGATCGAATAAGTGTGACACTTAAATGAATCTACCCATTTAAAGACGGAACACGATGAAGATGGCGACGGCAAAACCTACAACATATTGGCTGTTGGTAGATGTATCACTGTTATTGTACAAGATGTTATAAGGAACATTTTCAAGATTGTTTTATTGCTGAGGCCTAACCCAAATGTAGTTTCCTTCAGCTCTTGAGAGCTTATTGTTTTTGTTTACTGATGTGCAACTTTACTGGCTTTGTTTAAACTCGCTGGTTAAGCACTACTGGCCCACTATCGAGCAGAGGTTGAGATTAACCGGTAAACAAGATGGAGTAAATAGCAGCTAAAGAAGCATTTGTTTGTTGATGGGGAACAATACCTAGTTAAAATCTGTGAATATTCTATCATCATACATTCATTTAGTGAACAAGAACCCACATGATGCTTATGTTGCTTCATATCTGCTCGATAAGAACTGTTTGCTATCAGCCGTCATATGGGAACTCATAAGGTGATGTTATGGCAGTGTTTTGTTTGTGGATAAATTAATTGTGTAAGAGTAAAAGTGCACCAATTTAACATTGCTTCAATTTGTTGTCCTACAGAACATAATAGTTAATAGTATGGTAATAGTCAACATTATTTATAACATTTATTATGTGACATTTGCTATTTTATTTTATTGTTAAAAGCACATGGATATATTGTATTGGATATATTATAGCTTAGTAGTACAAGTATAAGTATATGTAGTATTTATTTAATTGTATGAAAATGTTGAGGTGGGTGTTTTACTTTGTATGGGGATGTTTAAATATATGGAATATATATGGCGTAAATATTCCTATATTATTAATAGTTTACATTTGTATTATTTGTAATGTCAAAACCATTACATTTAGTATACTGCTAGTTAAAGCCTTTTATTATGTCTTAACGTTGTGAAAAGCACAGGTGCCTAGCATCAAAAAGAAAAAAAGAACTCTGACGTCAGCCTGGTGCAGATCCTCATCTAAAAACAATCAAAGCAGATCCCAGTGAAGCGCTGGGTTTCAAATGCAGTTTTTTTCCCCCACATGACGATTTCAGCAGAGCGAGCGCTTGTTCATTGAATTATGCGTCGCACCTCTTCGTCATGACAACTAGCAGTGGGATTGAAATATTGCAAGTGGTGTCCTATGAGAGAGCGAGAGCGAGCGAGCGAGAGCGAGAGGCTTTAGACCGCACTGAGAGAGAGAGGGAGAGAGAGAGAGAGAGAGAGAGAGAGAGAGAGAGAGAGAGAGAGAGAGAGAGAGAGAGAGAGAGAGAGAGAGAGAGAAGAGAGAGAGAGAGAGAGGGGGGGGGGGGTTGTTGAAGCACGAGCCGTGGTATCCTCTTCATTGCAGCTATCGGGCTTCAGAAAATAATATCACTGCTAATATTTAAAGCTCTATTTCTAAAGCCATGAAGGCTAAACGGAAGATCCCCGCGCTGTTTCTCAGTCTGAGCCTCTATTTTCTGTGGTGAGCATCACAAGTTAAACCAAGGGAGCGCACCACGCAAGCGCGTAAAGAGATTGGACACCTGATTTTGTGGGGTGTCTTTAGAGCGCTATTCTTATTTTTTTAAGTCAAACAATCCGTGTTTTTCCCCAGGCCCTAGCTGCGCTGCGGTGGGGGGAAGATACACCGTGGATTATAATAACCAACATGGACAAATGAAGGAAAGAGGACTGATCACTGCGTTGACTTTTGAAGCAACGCGCAGAGTCTTGACGCTAGCGTCTATTTTACAGTGAGCGCCTTTTTTTCCCCTCTCTCCTCTTTGATTCCCACTCGCTGCTCAACATTAGAAAAGTCCAAATATCTGTGTGGATAAGGAGCACAGAGCAGGGTGTTGTCAGAGAGGGATGAGAGGAGGAGGGGGCAGTATGAGGTGTGCTTTTTTTGGAAAAGCCGGAGAAAGACGGACACCGAGAAGGTGTTCTGATGTGCGAAATCCTACGACGCGCTGCCCTCCTGAGAAATAATTGTGATCAGGGAAGAAATGGCCTAGTTAAAACATCATCGACACACCGGCAGAGGATAGAAACAGAAGAATCGTGTTCCGATGGACGGGCCATCACCACCGCCATCATCATAATTCCAGTGCTTGCATCGAGTCTTTTTTAGGTAAGCCGTATGTCCACCGCTACCTCCGAAACGTGACTGGAGATTTTCCTGTCTATCATAGGTGTTATGTGTGTGCAATATGTACGCTTTGGTGACTTTGCACATTGCGCACGTTATCCATCTTGACGCACTGTCACAATTGGGGGAATGAGATGTCCATGCAAATCCTCGTGCCACTTTGTTGCTATAGCACATTATTTTTCTTCCTTTCGAGTGGAAGCCTTCGATTGGCCTTGCCTGTTGATAAGCTGTCACATCCTAACATGATCCGACTACTTTGCCTTCAGCATCTGTCGTTTTCAGCTAATGATATTCATGTGATTTAATTGGAATCAACTCATCATGTAGGCTGTCAATCACACAGGATGTTTGGCTGCATTATAGGCTCCAATAATGTCATTTTCTCCCTTGGTGTAGTTTATTTCGATAATGTGTTGATGGCTGTGTTAATCAAACACACATGCTGCAATAGAAACTCATCTGAGCCAGAGTGGGTGACAGGCCTTGAACTCAGAAGATGTCCTCTTGCTCGTTAATAAACCTCACAACACACTCTGAGACACACACAGTATGCTCTAACAGAGACACACGAAGCCTGTGCCGGAGAAGATGCAGATAGCATTGTGAATTAAATGCACACTCTGATGATCCAGGGAAAGGCTCCATTAATATTCAGCGGTGGTTGGGCAGTGCTCAGTTAATGGCAGACAACAGGACCTCTGTTCTGACAGGTCATGGATGAGAAATGGTGTATTTTCTTTTTTGGAGATTTAATGGCGTTTTGTACACTGAATCGTTGCCCGTAGCTTGGGGCAAGTGACATTTAAAATCCATCAGAAAACCAATAAAGTGATTTTGTAGAATCCTTTAGTATTACTCTTGTCCATGTACTGCTGGAATAGCTGTGATTGGTTTCTTAAGCCTGCGTCATGTCAACCTGGTTACTGGCATTTGGACACTTAGATAGACCAGAACATGGCTGACGCCTTCCATTGGCTTTTACATGCCAAACATATGCCTTATTTACTGCAATATTTATCTCGAAAAAGTACATGGTACCCAGAGTAAAAATTCAGCAGAAGTGTATGCCTACCACCATATTTAAATGCCTTTTGGGAACATTTAAAATAATGTTTCTTCTAAGCTAATAAGAACTTAGTCATCTCCATATTGTGATGGTCCATTTTGTTTCTAGGGCTGAAACAATTAGTGGTCAAATTGATTGGTCAATCAAAAAAAAGTAATTGTAAACTATTTTGATCTTGAAGTGAATATCTTTGGGTTTTAGACTGACTAAAAAAGGCATACAAAGACATCACCATGGGCTTTTAGAAAATGCTGACATTTTATAGACCAAATGATTAATCGAGAAAATAATCAACACTTAATTGTGAGTGTTGGGCCAAATCTCTAGATCCTGAAGGATTTGGTGACACATCACAGTACAAGATGATGTAGCACAGTGAAATCATACACCATCTCTAATCAACCAAACAACATTTCAAACTTTAACTTCTGGAACTGCCAGCATTGTTTTTCCTTACCAAGCAAAAGATACTGTGACTGCAACCGTTCCCTGCATATTGTATCCAATAAACTACAGCAAAGGGCCAATAAAGATAATATTGTGGTGAGCACAGTGTCGCTTGGTTTCCAGAGGGAAAACAGGAAAGATAAATGGAATTAAAACAGAAAGAATGGCGGATTAATGGATCGGATGACAACATGTAGCGGAGACTTACAATCCAGAACAAAACGTGTTAAGTCTTAATGTTTAATGAAGTATGTTTGGGTGAGCAAGGTGAAGTGTGGAAAGGTGTTCAATGTTCATCAGTCTTACAGGATCAAAGCCGGAGCTTTCTTCAAGGAGGACAAGGTTGATGCTGAGTTGTTTTGTAATATATATGCTGTATACATTATATAGCTGTTTTTGAGAGATCAGCCTTGTCAAACATCTTGCTTATTTCCATAACAAAGGCTTGCATTTTAAAGGTGTAGTTGTATTAGCTTGGTATTGTCCCTACTCATAGGGTTTTGTAATTCTTGTACATGTAATGTTGGTTAAAGCTTAAACTTGAGTAAGTAGAACAAATGAATCTGCATCATTTTTTTAGCTGCTAACTGATGGCTCAGCGCATTGACATGGATTGAAGTGAAGTGCACATACTTAAAAACAATACATGGGTCAAAAGGAATTTGGCAGTTGGTGAAATGGCACTTTGGTTTAATGTGAAGCTGCAGTTATGTGTGGATTCATTAGTTTCGTTCCATTTAATAAACTATATTAGATGTTCCCACTAGTCAACAAGCTTTGCTATGAGCAAATAAATAAAGTCCTTCTGTATGTTAGCGGGCTGTTGGTGGTGCTATATGGTCATATGCTCCTTGCACTATTAAGCACTACAGACATATGATGTGCTTTATACAATGTAGGCAGTAAGTGAAGATAAACAGAGGTGTCATCAAAGTATGATACATGTGTATTTTTACTTGGTTATATTATCTGCACACAAAATGCATGAAACTAGGATTTATGGAAGGCAGTTCCAATTTTGTTTTATTTCAATAGTTCCTACATGTTTTACTTTAGCATATTTAGCTCTCAATTTCCATCCCACTTTGTGCTAGGGCTGTACAGAATAGCTTACAGCCTTGAAGCTTCATTCTTAACATTGCCATTGTAATTCTAAATCAACATTTGAATACTGCGCTTTTTCTTTTTATAATGTATATTTATTCAGTTTAAACCCAGTATGTACAGTTGACAGATACAGATTAGACTACAGTCATATTATTTATTAGTAATATAATATTTGTATAGTTAGATAGTTAGTTAGATTCTAGTGGTGGCCATGCTCTGACTGGACATATTCTTTACAGAAAGACAATAAAAAGTAATTCATTTAATACGATTAATCACTTTATTGAAATTGAAGATACAACCTATTTTTTTAGGATGATGACATCATTAAATATGATATGGAAATATCAAACTTTAATTCAAATGTATGCTTCAAATGTTACAAAAGTGACATTAGTAGTCTGTGGTATGGTCACTGCTTTCTGTAACCGGACATTTTTAATGTAATGCTCTTAGTACTGTTAGTAAAAAAGTCCTCATTACATGATGTATAGTGTCATGCTGCCATCACAAGAGGCAGCACTGGAAAAAGTGTTAAGAAACGAGTGGTCTCATTGCAAAGACGTATTCACACTTTGAAAAATTGCAAAAATGATATGCATTCTAAATGTCAAGTCATTATATATTCTCATGTTTTGCATTTGCACTTGAAGTGCCTTTGCCATACAATTTCAATGTAGGAACTGCAGATCAAGGATGCGGCTGGAGAGAAATTACCAAACATCATCGTTAGCGTTATCACTGGTCGTGTCAGTGTAGTAATTAAAACCAGCAGATCATTTGGGGAAATGGCGATCCTGTGGCAATGTTCACTCTATGGCTGAAGCATTGAACAAGGGTAACATTTTAATGAAAACATAAGGGACAATTTTGACTAGGTTAGGGATATCACAATTCCAGAAATTGTTTCTACAGTTAAAAACGAGAAGATATATCTCATGTACGTCAACATTAACTGCTTCATTACCATTGACATACTGCTCAATAGATTAAACAACTGTATTTGTGTACTGTATCCTAAACACATTATCCAGGACGACAGTGTGAGTATTGCGTCAGGTTTTCAGAATTTCAACTTGGCACTACCGTTTCTTTTGACCACTCATAGTCCAGTGGTCAGGTATTTCATCTGCCACTCAGGCTTAAAAAATAATGAAGTAATTTAAAAAGTGATTGGTGTTTGTAACATAGTAATCTCTTTAAACATGTTCTGCATTCAGAATATGTAGCATCAGAACAAGAATTTGATATTGGAGGGGGTTCTGGATTCTGTTTTGCAGTAAGAGTAGTATTGGCCAATCACGTTTGAGCCATTGCATTCTGGTAAACACTTGTGTGGCAAACAAAAAAGACAAATCTTGTAGAAAAAACATGTAGACTATAGACCGTCACTGTATAAGAAGTCTTAGCTTGGATATCTGCTGGTTAAATTAAAAGCCACGAAATTGGGCTCCCAGGTTTAGTTGATTGGTTCCAAGATTGGTAAAATAGTAATACTGCTGTATCAACTTTTCATCAGGCCTTCCAAGCCAGCACCTTCCATGACATCATTTTGTTTCCCTTTTTCCAGTGTCTCTTCTGAGGTTTCCCTCCTATTTTGTTTTTATGGCACAACTCTATGAACTGTGTGTCAGTCCCTAAAGGAGATTCTGCAGGATTGTGGTTTAAAGCGCTCAAAAGGCCCACTGGACAGCGCTTGTATTCCCACCATCTTTTTTGTGTGGTCATACCACAAATCATCAGATATATATCAAGAACATTCTTCAAAATCTGTAATGTCCGTTGGGCTCAGGCGTTGGACATTGGGATTAGACTTATCCTTTCTAACTGCTGCACCAACTGCACTGCATTGACTTGCAGTCCAGAAAGCTACACATTAATAGCACAAAAACGGAATTCTTTCTAGTTTTTTTACAATTATATTGATTGAAGAAAAGTCAGCTTAGCAGCATGGAAATTCAGCCTATATTAATTAGTTTTTGACCGGCTTTAAAGCATCTACTAGCGATATGACCAGCATGGTTTCTAACCGAGGTGCAGAATCCAATGTAACGCATTTACTACTTGCCTGGGTTAATGGTCAAGATGCTGTGATGGAGGCTATGAGCTTTCATTTCTGCCCAAAGGTGTCAAGTCAGAGAAAAAGACAGGTTAAAATGACCCAGCTCTCAGTCACGTCCCGGACAAGGAGGAGAAGAGCAGGAGAATAGCTTGACCTGACCCATTCACCGTGAGCAAAGAAAAGCTGGAGAAAACGCCTGTGCAAATACCATGGTAACCATCTCGTGTAACCTCCTCTCAACAATATCACATAACAGTCATCCATGAGATAAGCAAGGATGAGTGCTGTCCTGTCTTC